CCCCGCCCCACTTGCCCCCTGCCACAGCAGCCCCCCCACCCCGGCATGGCCTTTCCCTGGGGAAGAACCTGCTCCACTCCCAGCCCCGCGTTTAATTGCAATCTGCAGAATTTACAGCACACGGCGTTGCCGGCCGGGGGCTCCCCCACCGCCACGGCTGCCCCTCGACGCCATGGGCCCTGCCGAGAGCTGCCAGGGCGGTGCAAAGCCCCGTCCCCTCCCGCGGTGACAAAGGGGGGGACAACATCCCCCGTCCCAGGCACTGGGGCAGAGCTGGGCACCTGGCGAGTCTGGGCTTGGAGGTGCAGCACCACATCGGCGAGCAGGGAGGGGACCGCTGGGTTTCGGCACTCCCTCACAGGTAGTTGTCCTCCTCCTCCTCCTCCTCTTCCTCGTCCTGCGCCAGTGCCTCGATGTCGTGGGTGATGTCTGTGATCATGCGGTTGAAGGACTCGGACTCGGAGCGCAGGGACCAGCTGTCGTAGCTGCGCACGGCCGAGGCTGAGGTGTTGCTCATGCTGCGCTTGATGCGGCCGAAGCTGTCGGTGAGGATCCCGCCCTCCCGGATGCCGATGCTCTCCAGGAAGGTCTCAAAGTACCCGATGTCTTGGTCGGGGATGAAGGGCCTCATTCCTGCCATGGGCACCATGAGCCTCGGGGTGACCCTGCCTGGGTGGGCAGCGCTGGGGCGCGATGCCAGCCAGCCCCACCGGCTGCACGCAGGGGGCTCGTCCCATCCCGTCCCCCACATGCAGTGAGGTCCCAACACCTCCCGGAGCACACCCAGCACTGGCAGCCCCTCCCCAAGGGATGCACGGACGTCAGGAGGGTGACACGGTGACACAGGGTGGCTGCAGCGGGAGCCCGGACACTCACCCAGGAGGAGGAATTTCCTGCGGTCCCCATAGAGGCGCAGGAGCTCGGCGCAGTACTCCCGCACCGGCGTGCCCAGGCGGTACTCGCGGAGCAGGAGGGCGAACTGCTGGATCTCCTGTGGTGACAGCTTGTTGCGCAGCTGTGGGGACATGGGGACGGGTCGGGGCGGGGGACACCAGCAGTGCACAGCCCCGGCCCCCCCACTCCACACCCCGCTGGCTGCTCCCCGGTGTGGGGGGCTCAGACCTGCCCACCGCCCCCTCTCCGGCCGCCAGCACCGAGCAGGGCCCCTCATCCGTCCCCGCGCCCGCACCGTCACCATGTAGTCCTGCAGCTGCTCCAGCCCCGTGCCACTCTGGTCGCTGCCGCTGCAGGCGGTGGCCAGGCTGTGGTGGGACTGGTGGAAGGAGGGCGAGGAGGCACCGCTGTAATATGCTTCGAAGGTCTCGTGGGAGCCGTTGCTGCGGGAGGATGGCGGTGAGAGGACCCTGGCACCCCTTGTGTGCCCACCTGCCCCCCCGCTGCACAGCACCCACCATCGCTGCAGCCAGGACAGGCACCCACCCCGGGGCAGGGGCACCCACCCCGGGGCAGGGACACCTTGGGGGCAGCCAGACTCACAAGGAGCTGCAGCAGCTGAAGTCGGCGTCGTAGCCGTACGTCCCATCTGTGCGGCAGCTCTCACCTGGGGAGGGAGAGCCAAGGTCTGAGAGTGGGGCCAAGCCTCTGCCGTGGCAGCTGCCCCCTGCACTCTGCCCGCGCACCCCTGCCCGTCAGCCCCGTGCCGCCCCGCTCGGCATCCCCGTGCCCGTCCCTGGCCACTCACTCCTGCTGGAGAGCCAGGGCCGCGTGGGCGTGGAGGTGTAGTGGTACCCGGCGCGGTCCACACACTCGATGCTCTGGTCCCCATAGATGATCTGGAAGACCTGGCAGATGAGCGCGCAGGACTCCTCGGCGGCATCCTGGAGTGGGAAGGAGGGAGGGGACGTGGGTGGCTGGGTGGATGCTGGCAGGCGGGTGGGTGCCGGCAGGTGGCCATGTGCCGGGGCCACTCACCCTGTTGGGCACAGCGAGGATGACGAGGTTGGAGTAGGCGTCGGGGCAGGGCTCCTGGGGGTCCAGGGGGTTG